CAGTAACTGAAAGTGACAGCTCGGTGGGCAAATGTCTCCATGGTTTGTCACTCTGAGGTACAAGTGCTTGAAGAGTTGTCTCCTGTGTGGCCGTGTTGAGGTGCCTGAGGCTCTAAGTGCTCACCCAAGGGAAGGAGACTGTATCCTCAAGGTTACACTCTTAGTGTACTGATCACTGCTGTCTCAGGGTTGAACTAAAAGGAGACAGTGGGCTAGGATAGAGTACACAAACCTGGTCTCTCCTTTTCTTTCTCATTCCCAACTTTCCTGTGGTGTAGGAGGTCCTTCTGTTTATGTGTTGCTTTCTTTGGTTAATAAATAAAGAAACTGCTTTGGCCTTTTGATAGGGCAGAACTTAGGTAGGCAGGAAGAAAACAGAACTGAATGCTAGGAGGGCAGAGAGAGAGACACCATGGAGCTGCTGGAGTCAGACATGCTAAATCTTTCCCAGTAGGCCACTGCCATGTGGCAATATACAGATGAATAGAAATGGGTTAAGTCAAGATATGAGAGTTAGCCAATAAGAGGCTAAAGCAAATGGGCCAAGAAGTGTTTTAATTAATACAATTTCTGTGTGGTTATTTTGGGGCTAAGCTATCCAGACAGCTGGGATGAGCAAGCAGGCCCCTCTCCCTGCAACATCCCTGTTCATATATACACCTCGTCTGCACACAGCCAGTACCTTTCTACCTTTCTACATATTGGAATACAACAAAGACTCCCTTGCCCTGTCCAGACACCCCACAGTCACCAGAATGATGATCCATACGAACCTCTTTTCTTTATATAGTGTCCAGTATTGAGTGTTCTTTATCGTGACACAAAGGTAAGTAAGTCATGATCCAGAGAAGAAGCCTGGTTTTCAGGTCAGTTCTGCACTATGAATCTATATGAACTTGAATGTGACACTTAGACCCACTGTGAGGCACCTGCCCCATCTATAAAAGGCTGAAGGGCTACATCAGGCACATTTTTCTGTCTGTATCATTATGAGACAGATTCTTCATTTTTCTAACATCTTCAAAACCAAATTGGACCCACAACTAAGTCCTAGGAAGCTAAGATTTGCTAAAATGCAGTAATGAAGAAACAATCCAAAATGAGGGTTTTTGGAAGAAACAGAGTCCTAGGCCAGAGACTTCCATGTGACTAACAGCTGATTTTGTGCCTCATGGGTGTTATATACATTACCTAGGGAAATTCTCATAAGATAGATCTATTGGGGAAAGAAAAATATTTAAAAACAATAAACATGTCCTAAAGCTCATAAAGGAAGTAAAGGTTAGTGTAGGAATAATGAGGTTGGAGGACTGGGGTACAGACAGAACTGTGAGCAAGATAAGGCTTAGAAATTTATCTGGGCATTGGTTAAACTCCAGTCTTTATGACCAAGGACACAAAAAGTGACACTGGCTCAAAAAGTCATATAAGGGCAGGAAAGTGAAAGCTTCCTTAAAAGTGGCCCCAGCAGTTGACCTCATCCCAGCCCTGATGGAGGTTACTCTGGACTTTATCCTTTATAGTCTTCAAGAAGCTCAATGCCTCCCTCTTGGACTCAGTTCTTTAATTTCTAGAAAGAAGAGGTAGGATTCTAGATAATTTCCGACAGCTTTTATTTTGTACGATTTTGTTGCTACAATGACATCATCTAACTAGATCATGAAACAGGAAGCCCTCAGAGGACCCTGACCATGTTCAGCTTATAAATTAACAATCAGGAACACAGATTGGGTTGTGATGGCTCTTCTTCATTATCAGCTTGACTATATCTGGAATGAACTACAATCCAGTAGTTTTACACCTGTAAAATCCAGGTCTTGAGGCCAGAATACAACACCTTCAATATGGATCTTGAGACTGGAAGACACAGGCTTTTGATCTGGGTCTTAAGACAGAATGACCCACATTCTCTGCTAGAAGTCTATATAAAGACAATGAAAGAAAACATTGTTCTTCACCTGATTGCCTTTGCCTTGTCAATACATCCATTCCTCCACCGGCATTGGAGCCTACTTCTTCGGGATTCCAGCATATACAGAAGACCAGCTGAGACAGCCAAACTTGTGGGACTGAGCAACTACTAGATTCTTGAATTTTACATTCACAGTTAGCTATGCTGGACTTCAGCCTGTAAGTTATTCCAAGTGCCAAGCAAGAGAGAGAGAGATTCATTCCATAACGCTGTGACTCTAGAGAACTCTGACTAATACAGGATTAACTGTGCTTCCTGCTGAGAGGCTACAGTGAACTATGTGTTGGTTTTTGCTGAAACCTAGCAGACGTTGGAACCAAATGTTAAGAACCAAGCAACATTTCTCTTTGACATTAGCATGCCATCTACATGAAAATGAATCAGTCCACAGTATCATTGCTAAGTGTATTCTACATATGCCCTGTTCTGATTATATTTTATTAAGTGTCTAGATGATACTGAGATAGTCATAGCCAGCGTAATTTCTAGGACATCTACATTTGGTTTTGATCAGGGCGGAGCAACTTACCCAATTCTGAAAGGTATGAGATGTACCATCTCAAAATTTCCTTTAGTTAGTAATTCAGAAGTGGTTTGACTCATGACCCTCGTTCAAGATAACTCTTAAAATTGTCCTCAAGAGCTCATGTAGGACTGAAGTCACCAATCTTCTCAAGTTTTGACTGGAAACAACTTACTTCTAAGCTCACACTCATGTGGCTATTGTCAGGATCATTTCTTCACCAGCTAGAACTTCATGGGCTGGTGTAGGAGGTTCTTCTGTCTATGTGTTGCTTTCATTGGTTGAATAAAGAAACTGCACTGGCCTTTTGATAGGGCAGTACTTAAGGAGGCAGAGTAGAAAGAACTGAATGCTAGAAAGAAGGGCAGACAGAGAGCCGCCATGGAGCTGCCAGGTCAGACATGCTGAATCTTTCCAGGTAAGCCACGAACTCTTGGTGTTATACAGATTATTAGAAATGTCTTAAATCAAGATGTGAGAGTTAGCCAATAAGAGATTAGACACAATGGGCCAGGTAGTGATTTAATTAATACAATTTCTGTGTGATTATTTCGTGTGTAAGCTAGCAGGGTGGCCGTGACCAAAAGCAAGCCCTCCCTCCATCAACAATGGGCTGTTTGAATATCTTGACACATTGTCCCCTAGAGTCCCTCTTTCCTGACACCTCAGCTGATTTAATGAGTCACAACAGAGGGAGATTACATTGAAGGCAGAAGGCACAATCACTCTGCAATCTAACTACATGTGTCCTACCTGTTCAATCTTTTCATATCCTGTCCACAAGAAGCTAAACCCAGATCAGTGAAGCAAAGGGATATTAACCACTATCCCCTGAGGGAGGAGGACCAAAGAATTTGTGGATATATCTTTTTATGACAGCTTCTTAACTCAAGTGAGTAACTCTTAACCAATGATATTTATATATTCACCTTGCCTTTCCTATTCCAGCTAATGGCATCTTTGACCACTGTACCATTTATTATACCTCTTTGTCTTACACCAACACCTTATGTCAAATCTTCTACCATGCTTCACACTATATTATAGGAATAAAGTCTTCTCTTATCTGCCTGCCTGCTCAGGTGATGCTGGTCCAAGCAAGAGTCATCTATTGCTGAGAATTTCCCTCAGTTCTTGACTGGTCTTTCCACAGTCCTGCGTCTCCACTGTGCCTGACTCTTCCTAATGCAGTCAGAGAATCCTCTTAGAAATGTGAGTCATGTGACATCACTGTCATTGCTTTTCCTAGTATACTCCAAAAGGATTCTAGAACAATGAGTCAAACCCAGAGCTGTATCAAGAAAAACTGCTTGGCCCTCCTACTCAATGCCAACCCTGTTTCTCTAATCTTCCATAAGCTCCTCCTCTAGTCAGCCTCCTCCACTGGATTCTCTCTTCCTAAAATACTCTATTTATCCTTTGTCACCCCCTTGCTACTTTTAATTGTCAATCTAGTATTTAGGACTTGAAATGGAGTTTCTCCTTCTCGGAACCATGGGACATTTAGAACCAGAGAATTCTTAGTCAATACATAGTAAGATAGTGACATCCTGGGACTGCACATATTAGATCCTGGTAGCACTACTGGTTAATCCCACAGTCTAGACTCAAATTATCAAATCAAAGCAAGCTGGACTGTGCCCGTAACCATCTTCCCCTAAGAAAGGATTCAGGAGACCAGCTCTGAATGCAGGGAATGTAAGATTTTTATGCCTCAAAAAATGGGGGATTTCCAAATAAAAAGTAAAAATATAAAGAAAAAAATGAGGGATTCCCAACAAGGAACTTGGCAAGCAAAATACAGAAACAGATAGCAATTTTGAGATTACTTGGCAAAATATCTTGTGGTTTGGGGAGGGTATAGGTCAAGGCACCATGATGGCGCTGACCTACTCAAATTCCAGGAAGATTCAAGGAAATTTTAAGGTCAAATTCTAAGAAACAGAATCTTAAGGGGTTTTTGTTTTGTTTTGTTTTGTTTTTACATATCCAGGGTCACATAGCATTTTTATTTTTTATTTTATTCTTTTAAAAAAGAAAACAAACTATCCTTTTTTCATTTTACAAAACCAATCCTAGTTCCCCCACCCTTCCCTTCTTCCATTTACTCCACCTTCCCCCCAACCCCACACCCATCCACTCCTCAGAGAGCGTAAGGCACCTAGCTTTGGGGAAGGTCCAAGACCTTCCCTACTGTATATCTAGGCTGAGTAAGGTATCCTTCCAAAGAGAATGGGTTTCCAAAAAGTCAGTACAAGCAATAGGAATAAATCCTGGTGCCACTGCCAGGGGTCCCGCAGTCTGTCCCAGTCATACAACTGTTACCCATATTCAGAGGGTCTAGTTTGGTCCTCTGCTGGTTCCTTCCCTGTCTGGCTGGAGTTGGTGTGCTCCCATTAGCTCAGGTAAACTGTTTCAGTGGATGTCCCATTATGGTCTTGACCTCTTTGCTCATATTCTCACTCCTCCCACTCTTCAACTGGACTTTGGGAGCTCAGTCCAGTGCTCCGCTGTGGGTCTCTGCCTCTGTTTCCATTGGTTGCTGGATGAAGGCTCTATGGTGACATTTAAGATAGTCATCAGTCTGACTACAGGGCAAGGCCAGTTCAGGCACCCTCGCCTCTACTGCTTAGGGTTTTAGCTGGGGTCATGCTTGTGGATTCCTGGAAATTTTTCTAGTGCCAGGTTTCTTGCTAGTTCCATAATGGCTCCCTTAATCAAAATATTTCTCTCTTTGCTCTCCATCTCTGTCATTCCTCTATCTCAACTACCCTGTTCCTCAAGTCATCCTCCCTTCTCCCATTCTCTTTTCCTCTTCCCCTTCTGCCCTTCCTTCTTCCCCTACTCCCAGGCTCTCAATTTTGTCAGGTAATCTTGTCTATTTCCCCTTCCCAGGGGGATCTATATACGTTTTTCTTCAGGTTCCTCTTGATAATTAGCTTCTCTAGGGTCATGGACTATAGGCTCATTATCCTTTGCTTTAGAGGTAGTATCCACTTATTAGTGAGTACATACCATGTTCATCTTTCTGTAAACAGAAACTTAACTTAGCTACAAACTCAAAATGGCTCCCCAGAACAAAATGAAGTTGGGCTGGTTATTTATATCATCTTTCTAATTGCCATAACCTAAGTATCTCCAGATATTGCTAAGCATCTTCTGGGAAAGTGAAATAACTCCAATGAATGTTGATGCTTAAGAGCTGTGGTTCTCAGTCTGTAGATCACAGCCCCTTTAATGGTTGAATGGAACTTTCACATGGGTCACCTAAGATCATCGGAAAACACAGTTATCTATATTACAATTCATAACAGTAGCAAAATTACAGAAATGAAGTAGCAACAAAAAGTAATTTTATGCTTGGGGTTCACCACAACACGAGGAACTGCATTATAAGGTCACAGCAATAAGAAAGTTAAAAGCCACTGCTTTAGAGGGACCCAACTAACCAGTTCAAGTCCCTAGTTTGAAGACCCAGTACCATTCCTTCTAAGTACTCACCATAAGTTTAATCATACCTGTAGCCCAAATAAAGTCTCTGCTGCTCAAAAAATAAGGCTCAACTCTCCTAATGCTATAATCCTTAACTACAATCCCTCATGTTGTACTGACTCCCAACAATAAAGCTATTTTGTTGTTACTTCATAACTGTAACTGTGTTCCTGCTACAAATCATATTGTATATGTGATAAGCAAAATAAATATCTGGTATGAATAATATCTAATATGTGACCCTCGTGAAAGTGCCATTTAATTCCCAAAGGGTTTTCAATCTACAGGCTGAGAACCACTGCTCTAAGAGTCTATGTGTTACCTGTGTTTAACAAGCATCACACCTCCATTGTCCACCCACATTATAGGCAAGCAAGCTGTTTATCCATTGAGAATGTTCAATAGTATCTTCCTTATATGCATGCATATCAGCTAGTTCAAGACAGAGGGAGAAGGAGGTAAAAGAGTGGAGTAATGGAGAGAAAAAGAGAGAGACTATTTCATGTAGGAAGGTAGACTGAAATTTGGTTCAGGTGAAAGGGAAAAGACAGAATAACAACTTATAGGCTCTATTCTAAAGAAAAGAAGTATTTCAGAAATGTATATTGCCAGGATTTGAAATAGTTGGGGCAATTGGGTGGCCCCCAAGAAAAATTCAAGACAAATAAAGCTTGAACTATGTCACTCCCAGCTCTGGTGGGGGATGGGTGACAGAAATAGGTCTATCTTATAAGATCACTGGCCAACTAACCTGATCTAGTTAGGAAGCACCAAACCAATGTCTAAAAACAAAAAATACAGCTCCTGAGACAGCTCCTGAGAAACAACTGAAGCTGTTATCTAGCTCCCATACACACATACACACACACACACACACACACACACACACACACACACCACTAAAGCTTTAATGGGAAGCATTTCAGCTCAATTACAAAGGTGAGCATATCAGACCTTACATTAGCAGCTCTAAAAGCCAGAAAATCATAGAATAATATATGTAAAGATCTGAAATTAAATAATTGAAAATCCAAACTGCTATATTCAACAAAGCTATCTTTTTCAATTGGTTATAAAATAAGCATATTTCAATACAAAAACACAAACTAAGGCAGTTCGGTAACAAATCATCATTGCAGAAGTCACTTGAAGAAATACTGTATACAGCATCAGAGGAAAAGAAGTTTCAATCACAAGAACATAGGAAAGAACACATATAGCAGAGAAATAGATTAATACAAGACAGCTAGGAAGGAATTCACTATGTGCAACACAGTAAACCAGCAAGGTCCTAGTGGTATACTAATAAAGGAGAAGGAAAGAGTATGTAACCTAAAAATATAAATAAATCAAAAGAATTAGCAAGCATCTCTCAATAATTATAGTGAATGTAAATGGCTTCAACTTACCAATGATTATATTGGATTTAAAAATAAGATACACCTTTCTTTGTCTGCAAGTTTGTAAAGACACACACAGCCTGAGAGAAAGTTTGGAAGTCAATTAAGTGAGTGGAAGCTCCAAACAAGACAGCGTCACTATTTTGATACCTGAAAAAGAAACGTGCAAATAAAAATTAGTCATGGAATATAAATGATCCACCGCACATTAATAATAGGAAATATCCATCAAGAAGATATCACAATTTAAAAATATATGTGCCAAATGTTTGAGCTCCCAGTCTTATCAAAACAAAAGGGTACAAAGGGTCTGAGAGATCCTGATACAATATTGCAAGTGCTTCAATACACCATTCTCATCTTCAGAAGATCACTTAAACTGAAACCTCAAAGTTAAACTAAACAATAGATGAAATAAACTTGACCAGAATCTACAGAATTTCCCATCTAGTAGAAAAAGAATATAATTTATCGTTGACAGTCCATGCATTCACCATCATTTCTAAACAGATGATATTCTGGGTCACAGAGGTAGTTTTAGCAAGCAAAAAAAATGCTACTAATTTATTTTATCTTATTAGAATTTATTAGAATAGAACTAGAAATCAATAGTAGGAGATACTATAAAAATTACACAAATACTTGGAGGCCGGACAATACACTTGCAAATGACTGAAAAAAATAAAGAAGGCAATTAAATGATTTCAAAAAATCAAGAAGGCAATTAAAAGTTACTATAATCAAGTAAGACAAACACAACTTCCCAGAACTTCTGAGATACAAATAAGGCAGGTCTAAAGGAACGTTTATACCTAGAAGTGCTTACATTACAAAATCAGAACAACCACAAATACCTTAATGGTACACTTAATATAGAAGAAGTACCAGAACAAATCAACTCTAGTGCAGTAGGTAGCAAGAAATAGTAATGGCTGGAGCAGAGATTATTAATATGGACACTAAAATGTCAACACAGGACTAAGGAGATAGTTTAGAATACAAACTGTTTGCCATCCAAGCTGAAGGGGCTGGTTTCAGTCTTCAGAACTCATGTAAGAAATCTGGGTCAGCTGGCACAAGCTTGCAAACCTAGTACTAGGAAAGTAGAGACAGGTGAATGGCAGGGCTTTGCTGGCAAGCAGCCTAGCTTAATCAGTAAAACCCAAGCCATTGAGCACCCCTTTCTCAAAAAAAAATGCTAAAGTGCTCTAGAAATGACATCCAAAGTTGACCCTGGCTTCTATGCTCACATACACATACATGCACATGCATACACACACACACACACACACACACACACACACACACACATATGTATGTTCAAAAATACATAGAATTAGTTAAACATAAATTGGTTCTTATATAAATATAACAAGATGTTAGCCAAATTAATCAAAAGAGAGGACGCACAGGTTAATAAAATTAGAAATGTAAAGGGGGGTTGCTACAACAAATAGCAATAAAAACCAGTGAATTACTACAGAATATTTTGAAAATTTATATTTCAGAGAACTAAAAAAAATCTAGACAAAATGGACAAATTCTTAGGCAAATATTACCTGCCAAATTAAATTGAGAAGAAAAAAACCAACTTATATAGATCCACACAACAAGCAATGATATAGAAGCAGTAATAAAAATCGCCTTACAAATAAAAACTTTTGATCAAGATTTTATACTGAATTATGCCTAAATTTTAAAAGTGCATAACACACCCAGCCTCCGAGTAGAGATTCAGGGACCCCTAGTTATTCCCCACCACTCTCCTCAGCCATTCGTCCCATCTGATCTCCATTCTATTGTGACTTCCCTCTGACCACAGAACCTATCTCTGCCAGGATCTCCACTGCCAGAACAATTGGCCATGACACAGAAAGACTATCCATGTGCTCCTTCCTCTCTATTGATCTTGTTTCTCTAGTAGAGCCCTAGTAGCAACTGTTACATGCCTCAGCTCTTCATGTCATCCCATCTCCGTTCCCTTAGGACATACTACTATCCATTGACAGACCAAGGGTGTCCCTAGTTCTGCCCCTTCTGCTTTTCATGAATCTAGACCCCTAGTCTTACTCAAGAAATCTCTGGAGTCAGTTCCCGTTCCTGCCTGCTAGCCTACCAGGGACCCATTCATTATGACAATCTAGGACTGTTTAGTGTCTGAACCCAGAGGTTCAGCCAGTCCCTCAGAACTGATACTAATGGGACTCCTAATCCTAAAACCCAGAAGAACCCCAAGACTAAAAAACAAACATTTTTTGCTCATCCACAACCTATCAGATTGGGATAACAATAACCAAAGAAATAAAGGCTAAATCAACAAAGGTGAAACCATATCTACACCAAGAAACACTACATGTCATGATACCAGAAACCATCACGAAAACACAAACATGAACAACCAAGACAATATACCTCCTTCAGAAACCAGCAACCCTATTGTAATAGATGCTGAGCAACGCAATTTAGCTGAAGTGCAAGATAAGGACTTCCAAACAGCAATTATGAATCTGTTCAAGGACCTTAAAGAGGATATGAATAAATGACTCAATACAAAGCATAAAAATGTAACAGGACTTCAGACTTTAGTAAGTTTCCGTAACTTAGAAAAACTGACTCCATGATGGAAGTGCCATTCAAGCCATAAAACTTGGCACATAACCATAATACCAGCCAAAACTAAAACAAAGACTTAATCCATCAAAGTCTATGTTCTGGGAAAGTCTCTAAACGTACAATTGTTGGTTTGGTTTTGCTTTGTTGTGCTGTATCATTTTTGTTTGATTTTGTTTTGTTTTTCTTCTGTAGTTCTACTTCTGGCTAATGGTGCTGTTAGCTGAAGTATGCTAACTCAAAATGTAGTTTTTATGCTTAAAAGCTCACCCTGAGAAAGACAGGGCTTCTCTGAGACGCCAAACACCCAGCATAGTAGCAAGCCAACTACTAAAGACTTTCTATTGGCTTCAGTCCATGGCTGATCCCTCTTCTCTGCTGGATACCTCACAATAATTGCATGAAATAATGAAAATAGTTCAAGATATGAAAATAGAATTTATCAAGGAAATGGAATCATTAAAGAAAAGCCAGACTTAATAAAAATAAAAACCTCTGGAAATACAACAAAAAGGTCAGAGTTAAGTCTAAATAGAGTAGAGGAAGGAATTTCACATTTTGATGACATGTTAGAAGAAATGAATAGCTCAGTTAAAGAAAATATTAAATCTAAAAACAATCCAGGCACAAAACATCCAGGAAGCCTGAGATACTATAAAAAAAACCAAACCTACAAATAAAATATTTAGAGGAAGAAAAAAGACCATGTTAAAGGCATAGTAAATATTTTTTAGCATCTTAGAATAAAAGTTCTCAAATCTAAAGAAAGAAATGGCTATCAATGTACAAGAGACTTTTAGGATACCAAAAGATAGGACCAGAAGACAAACTCCCTGGTACTCAGAATATTTGAAATATTAAATATACCAAACAAAGAAAAAATATTAACAACTACAAAGAAAAAGACCAAATTACATATAAAGTCAGGTCAATTAGAATAACATGTAACTTTTTGATGGAGACTCTGAAGCCAGAAGGGCCTGAACAGTTGTTCTATAAAGTCTGAAAGACCACAGATGCCAGCACAGACTACTATACCCAGAAAAACTAGCTATCTATCACAGTCAAAGGAGAACGAATTTATGATTAAAAACAAATTTAAAAATGTCTGTCCACCAACCCACTACAAAATATGCTAGAAGGAAAATTTCAGTCTTGTCTTAGGGTTCCCATTGCTGCGCAAGACACCACGACCATGGCAGCTCTTATAAATGAAAACATTTAATTGGGACTGGCTTGCAGTTTCAGCTGTTTAGTCCATTATCATCATGGTGGCAAGCATAGTGGCACAGAGGCAGTGCTAGAGAAGGAAGAGAGAGTTCTATGTCCTATCCCAATCTGCAGGCAGCAGAAAGAAAGAGTGAGCCACTGGACCTGGATTGAGCTTCTGAAACCTCAAAACCCATCCCTGATGATACACTTCCTCGAATAAGGCCACAACTACTCCAACAAGGCCACATGTCCTAATCTTTTCAAATAATGCCACACCATAAGAGCTTATGGGGACCATTTTCTCTCAAACTACCACAAGTCTGAAGAGACTAACCACACCTTTGAGGGAATAAGAAATAAATAATCCCATGACTGTTAACTAAAAGAACAAAAACAAACAGGAAACTGATGCCTGGTACTGGGATGGCTCAACCAACACTCAAGCCTTGTTTCCCAAACCTGGTCTCAGTTTCCTCGCATTGCTTCTGTCTATTATTTTTGTTCTGTTCTCAAACAAGTTTAACCTCATGGTAACAAGGCTATCAAACCATGTAAACAAGCTCACAACACTAATCTTTTATTTGGCAAATATTCTGATGAAAACATACACACACACACACACACACACTTCCAATAAATGTCAATGTACATCATCTTCTGATTAACTCAAATCAGTGAGTGAGATCGTAGTCAACTTCCTAGACTTCTCTGATTGACCTAGCAAATATTCCTTGCCTCTAAAGCCAGGGATGCAATCAGTCCCATCCACATACTATGTTTTGAGAGCACAGGAGGAAAAGTGCTAGTATTGACCTATCAATGAATCTCTTCAAGAAAAAGAAAGAAGAGGTAGATGCTGGGAAGACAAACCCAAAAATATGTGGCTGTGGCTGGTCCACAGCAGGACTTTAATGAAGTTGCATGAGTGGGTGTGGCTGATTACAAGCTGCTTCTTTAGCTGAGGTTTGTGATTAAGGGGGAGATGAGCACTGACTGGGTAGTTTCATTGAGCTGGCTGGATGAAAAGAACAGGACACAGAGCGAGGAGTTCTGGATGAACAGCCCTGGTACAACTTGACCATAGTCATAATGGATCACACGTCTCTTGACAAGAGGTAATAAGAGAGAAAAGAGCCTTTAGAGCAAAGCATCCAAGGGAAAAAATAAATTCAGCAAAGTTGTATTAGATGCAACTAAAAGATGCCCAAGTCTATGTTCCCAGGGAGGAAACTGAGGTGTCAATGTTGGGTACAAATGTGATCCATATAATGTTTACCTAGCTCCCAGGAAGCGATAGGTCCCTAACCCTGTCGGAAATACCAACTGAA